AGTCGGGCGTTACCGACTGCGGAATACTCATTCACATCCCATCAACAATTTAGTAGTTAAGTTTCGCTCTAATACTGTAGATTATACACGTTTTTCCGATTTGCCACGCCCCAACTGGGCGTAGACACCTCATTTTTTGGTCAGTTTTTAGAAAGAGATAACGGTACCCTATCTGCAAAGTTTGAATGCTTAACCTCAAAAAATGTGAAAATTACAGGGTATTTTTCGATATGCCACGCCCCTAAAGAGGCGCAAAAATTATTTTTGGGGAATCGATAGAGGAGGCTACCAGTAACTCAACTATCCAAATTTAAAGCTTCTAGCTATTATACTTTAGGAGATATAAACTTTTGTGGTTTGCCACGCCCCCTGTGGGCGGACATATATCCGACAAAACTTTTTGGTCTTGGGTGATCAGTCCGAGTATATATACAATATTTGAGGTCTCTGCCATCAGTAGTGTCCAAAATATAGGAGAATTTAAAAAATCACTATATCTTCAGGTCCGATTTGCCACGCCCCCAATGGGCATAGACTTATAATTTTATTTTTAGACTTTATAGAGTCATACCATTAGCTGACGTGCAAAATTTCAGCATTCTAGGTTTACAACTTTAGGAGATACAGTTTTATCCGATTTGCCACGCCCCCAATGGGCGTAGATATATCCGCAATAGCTCGTGATCTTGGGTGGTCAACGCGGACCTACATACCAAATTTCAGCTTTCTAGCTCTTTAACTAACATGATTTCTGGTATATCGGAAAATGCATTTTCCGATTTGCCACGCCCCTAGAGGGCGGATCGGGAAAATTTCAACACTTTATAAATCGGAGATATACACGAGTATGTGTTCCAAATTTCAAGTCTCTAGCTTCAATAGCGCCGAAATAGATTGCGTTCATACGGACAGACGGACAGACGGACGGACGGACAGACGGACAGACGGACGGACAGCAAGACGGACATTGCACAAAACCAATATACTGATTCACTTTCGTGAATGAGTATAAAAAAACACATCCCATTTTGCCCACTGGGATTAATCAGGTACCACATTTTTAAAAAACATTCAGGTACCACATTTTGAAAAAACATTCATTCTGAGGGAAGGCATGGGCTCTCGCTGCGAAGAAATTTCAATTTGTGAGCGCTGCTTGTGTTCACATGCATACATACATTTACATATTTGAGAGAGCAGAGAGCATCGTGAGAGAGAGAGAGCAAGGGAAACATTCAGCGTAGAGGGATCTTTTGTTCAACAGTCGACCATCTCGATCGAGCGCATGAAGCGAAATGATTGTGCTTTCGTATATTTTCGTAACCCGAACCCAAAAAGTGAAGAGCCGAGCAAATACGAAGTGTCTGGGAGATAACTCCCGAAAAAAGTGTGCAAAACGCTTTACACTACTTGTCCGGTCTATGTGTTCTCTGGTTAGTGGTACACACGAGTATGCATGCCAAATTTCAGCTCTCTAGCTCTTATATATTCTGAGATCCTTTTGCTCATACGGACGGACGGACAGACAGGGCCAAATCAACTCAGCTCGTCGCCCTGATCAAGAATATATATACTTTGTGGGGTTTGCCACGCCTCCTTCTCCTTGTTACATACATTTCAGCAAAACCATTATATCCTGATTTCCCATTGAAAATGGGGTATTATTATATGCATTTTATACAATTTCGCTTTTTGTCAAAATTTACCCCCACCTCTTATTCACCTCTCACCCTCACATTTGTAAAAGGCGTATTTCAAATACTAGGGACTTGTGCTTTAGCAAATACATGTATATTTATGTATTTTATATTTATAATCTGTTTCATGAAGATAGTCCATCCAGAAGAAAAGTTATTAAGCAATTAAGTTCCCATAGTAAGCCAACACTGCAACCAATGCGTGTTTATGCGTGCGTATGTATGTCTGTGTGTGTGCGTGTATGTGTGCATATGCGAATAATTATTGAAATATCAGTTGCTCGAAGCGTTCAGGAGATCTCGTAGTCGGGCAGTCTCGACTACAGCTTTCTTACTTTTTATATTTGTTTTATGAAAATAGTGTATAATGTCGATTTTGTCGTTGTTACCTTTTATGAATTCAATTTATCTGTTATATAAGTTTAAAGGTCTTACTGAAATAGGTATTAAGTTTTGGTTGTCTTCCTGAGCACTATGAATGGTTGCTCGGGAGCTACTTATTTCTTCTCCTAAGAGATTTTCTTCTAGTTTGATTCTAGAGAGGGCATCTGCTACGTGGTTTTATTTTCCTGGTAGATATTTAATATTATAGTCGTATTCGTTTAACTCAATCTTCCATCTTTGTAATTTCATGTTCGGTTCTTTTATATTGTGTAGCCATACTAGTGGTTTATAATCGCTAAAAATTTGTAATTTTTGACCGAAGATATATGGTCTGAAATATTTGGTAACTCATACGATGGCTAGTAGTTCCATTTCTATTGCTGAATAATTAAGTTCGTGATCGTTTAAAGTTCTGCTTGCGAAACAGATTGCTTTGTGGTCCTGTGGGAGGACTGCTCCTATAGCCGCATTTTTTGCGTCTGTGGTTAGAGAGAAAGTTTTGTTGAAATGTGGGTAGATTAATATTGGGTCATTTGTTATAAGCACTTTCATTTTCTCGAATGCTGAGATGAAATCTTGGTTGGTTATATAATTTTTATTTTGGCAAAGTTTGGAATAAACTTTTCATTATAGCTGCTACTTTATCGGGATTAGGTTTGATTCCTTCTGTTGTTATTATATGTCCTAGGAATTGTGTTTCCTTTTTTTATAAATTCGCATTTATATAATTGGAGCTTTAAATTGGCTTTGCGTAATCTGTTAAATACTTTTGTATGGAAATTAAGTGTTCATCTAGTGAGGTTGAGAATATGATTATGTCGTCGAGCCCTTTGCTAGATCGATACTGGTAAAATATTGGAATTTGCCAAGTTTATCAAAGATTTCATCCATGGTGGGTATTGGGTATTTATCATCTATTGTGACTTCATTTAGTCCACGATAGTTGATGATTAAGCGCTATTTGTTTTTTCTTTGGAAGCGTCCTCTTTTTTAGGTATCCCTAAACATGAAACATAAATAATAGGGTGAATTAGATTTTCTAATGATTCCTTGTTTTAACATTTCATTAATTTCTTTGTTGACTTCTTGGTTAAGAATTTGAGGATGTCTATAAAGGTATTTATAGATGGGGGCCTCATGTTTGGTTATTATTTTATGTTTGATTGTACTAGTAAAGGTCAAATTAAACTCACTAAATACTCTGTAATTTTCACATTTTTTGAGGGTAAAGCATTCAAACTTTGCAGTTAGGGTACCGTTATCTCGTTCTAAGAACTGACCCAAAATGAGGTGTCTACGCCCAGTAGGGGCGTGGCAAATCGGGAAAACTGCATTTTCTACAGTGTTAGAGCGAAAGGCTTCCATTAAAATTGGTGTTGTACAAACGCCGTAGAAGTTCCTCGCAAGGTGTGTGAGTTTTAAACTCATTCATCAGGGCGGATCGAAGACTAGTCCAGCCTGCGGCTTATGTGAGTTGAGACACTCGCTGTCCTGCTCCAGTTAGCAGCATCTCGGTGGTTCCATACATTAAGCTATGCTGGCGGACGTCTTTTGTTGGATATAGCTGCATTATGTAGTCGATGCGTCTGATGAAAGCGCTTAATCCATTGGTGTCACCGTGGAATGTAGGCACCTGCCTTAGAAGGGTTAGGGCCTGATTGAGGTGGGTCTCCGACAATTCCAGAGTCATGATGGAGCCGTTTAATTGGTTTAGTTAAGCACTTGTTTGTTTGGGAGTCACGAAATTGTGAGTGGGTTTTTGTTCCTTTGATTGTTTCACTTAATTGGATCAATCGTTGTTAGTTGAACAGTTTTGGGTCACTGACCAGAGAACACATAGACTAGACATGTAGAACAAACTTTTTCAACACCGAAAAAATGCGCTGAGCGGACCGGACAACTTCGTATTTGGTCGGCTCGGTCTTCTGAGGCTCAAGCAGTGAAAATAAGACAAGACAAAATCAGTGTGCTGCGACTGCTGCCACGAAATGCACGCATTACTAAATGAAGCACGGATATGCGCTCTTTTTCCCTTACTCTCTCCCTCTCTTTATGCTCTCTCTCTCTCTCTATATGGTCTCTCAAATAGCAGCAGCGCACAAAAATTGAATTTTGTTCGCGATGATCCCAGCTCTTTCCCTTTGAAGTGAAGGGTATACCTAATCATAAAAGCATTTGTCACGCTCATGCAAACAAAATGTAAGCGTTTGTATAGTTATTCGTGAGAAGGGTATGAAAGCGTTGATACTCATGGAAATGCTTTCGCGACGAGTGTGCACACAGACACACACACTTGCAGTCTCTGGAAACATGATTCGTGGCCTGTGTGCGTAACTTTTGCTGCTTGTAGTAATTTTAAAGCCCAGCATTTGCATTTGGTCGATTTTTGCTCACAAACATACATACATACATGTATATACATATGTACATTTGATTGTGTGTATGCATGAGATGCGATGCTCACAATTATGGGATATCACTTGTAGAAGCATTTGTATGCCTCTGTCCTTTACATGTGCGTATGTGTACATATGTCTTTGTGTGTATGCATGGGATATGAGCATTGGCGTGGACCTACCTCAATCTAAAATTGTGTGAACGATTTAGAGTTCGAAATACGATTTGCAGAATCGCATTTATGTACATACATAGAAATATTTAATTAGCTAACTAAAGTGACAAGTGCACTTTCTAATACTTTTGATATTTGTTTTTTTACTTGCATGATTTTTATGTCATCTTGACCTCTATATGTATGAACATATGCTTATTTTAAAAATTGCATATGAACATATGTATGTATATGCTTTGGAATATTTCGGGTTGCAGACTATAAATATATACTTCAAATGGGACATGAAATACACATGTCATATTAAGTCATAAAGGCCCATTCGACAGTCACTTTACAATGCAAACCATACTGATGAATAATTAAACATTTCTTTATTTTATATGAACTATAACAGCCAATTGCTGGTACGCTCAACTTGTCCGTTCGTTTGCTTACTGAATACTAACATAAGTTTATCGACTTAACCGATAATTGATCTCGATGCGGCTCTTCATTCGCCGATAATAATGAAAGCTACAAATTATACTAAAAAATGACAAATGTGCTAAAAAATGATAAATGTGCAAAAAAATGACAAATGGTTTCTCAACATCTCGGCCCCCCCTGAAACTCCGTTTCAGAATGTGGTAGAGCTGCTATCTTCGTGATGGGTCGTATAATCTCTCCAGAAACGACCTTGAGTTTAACTGCCCGTACTAATCCATCCTCTCCTGGGTACACTTCGATTACGCGTCCTAAGTTCCATGTTGCTGGAGGCGTATGCGAATCCTTGATGAGTACAATGTCTCCAAGGGATATGTTAGGCATCTTGGTAGACCATTTGGGTCGTTGCTGCAATGCCGTTAAGTATTCCTGCTGCCAACGCTTCCAAAATCCTTGAAGCATTGCCTGAATATGTTGCCAATATCCCAAGCGATTGGTTGGTACCTCTGCGTAGCTCCCATCTGGAACTGCAGTGTACGTCCGTCCGATCAGAAAATGTGCTGGTGACAAGAATCCAATTTCTGTGTCCGAAGTTGCGCATAATGGACGGGAGTTCACGACTGCTTCTATTTGTGTAAGCAGAGTGCGCATCTGTTCAAATGTAATTGCCTTAACAAGTCTAGTCAGCAGTAGAGCTCCACACAGTTCGAGGCGTGGCAGCGTTGCTAGTTTTAAAGGTGCGACGCGAGTCTTAGCAGCAACAAGATATACTCCTATAGAGCCGTCACTATACTCAACTCTGCTGTAGACGACCGCAGAGTATGCCTTAAGCGAAGCGTCTGAGAATGCATGTAACTCGATGTGATCCATGTGACTGTCTATGAAGCGTGGTATCTTTAGCTGTTGTAGCGACGAAATGTCCTTGCGATACATCTGCCAAGAGTGCGCCTGTTTCATCGGAAGTTCAGAGTCCCAATCCAAATCAAGCAGCCAAAGTTCTTGCAGTAGAATCTTGAATTGGACTACCACTGGTGCCAAAATGCCCAGAGGATCAAAAATGTGTGCTACATCGGATAGCACTTGTCGCTTTGTGCAGCTTGCAGTCTCCGATAATACAATGTTGTATGCAAGGTTGTCTTCTCCAGGATCCCAATGTAGACCTAATACCTTTGATGTTGCTGTTGACATGTTGCCTCTATCACCTTGCGCGGTGCATAGTCGTGTGCTATTTGAGATCCATTTTCCCAATTCCAATTGCGCACGCGACATGAGTGCAACCAGCTCAGTTTGAATGTCAATAAGTTCTTCCTCTGTCATGGCTCCTGTTAATACATCGTCCACATAGAAATCCTCAAGTAATATCTTAGCTGCTCTAGGAAACTCATGCTCGTGGTCCTTGGCAAGTTGTTCTAACACCCGGACTGCAAGGAATGGCGCAGACGCAGTCCCGTATGTAACTGTGCAGAGTTTGAAGTGTTTCAATGGTGCTGATGGGTGTTCTCTCCATAATATTCGTTGAAAGTCCTGATGTTTAGGTGCAACCAAAATTTGTCTAAACATCTTCACAATATCAGCCGAAAATACAAACTTGTGCATTCGAAACCTCATGCATACGTTGAAGAGATTGCGTTGTATACATGGACCAATATGAAGCGCATCGTTTAGAGACCGACCATCTTGGTCTTGAAATGAGCCATCAAATACCACACGCAGCTTTGCACCTAGCACTGGATGGTGCGGCATGTAGAAAACCTCCTTCGAGGTGGCGTCTTCTTCTGCATCCACCTCCTTCATGTGATCCAGTTGTATGTACTCCCTCATGAATTGCACATACTTCGATCGTAAAGCTGCATCCCTCATTAAACGACGCTCAACTGCCAAGAAGCGAGACTTGGCTCCATGAAAGGTGTCTGCAAACTCTGGGTTCCCTTGCTTGAATGGTAGCTCGACGATGTATCTCCCTTCGGCATTACGGGAGTGTGTTTGGACGAAATGAGTCTCCACTAACTCATCTTCTTTATTGGCAGACGTGAACGATGGAAGTTCTTCCAGTTCCCAAAACCGTTGCAACAATGTGTTGATGTCCATGGTAGCTAGGAGTGACGTAGTTGTAGTTGTACACGCTCCTGCCACTGATATGATGATCCATCCAAATATTGAATCAATAGCAATTGTGTTTCCCTGAAGATTACACAACTTATCTCCAGTAAGAACCGTCCAAATGTGATCGTTGCCAAGCAAAATGTCGATTGAAGCGTTGGTATTAAATGCGGCGTCTGCCAGGGTGTGGCCGCTAAACATAGAGAGGTCTGCTGCATTTATAGTTTCTCTCATCAGTGTCGAAGTAATGTTTCCAAGCACGTGTGCCTTGACCACAAGAGATGCATCTGACACTCGCGACTTGATGTGTAGTGAACAGAGCCCTCTTGTTGTTTCTGCCTTGATTGATGATATTCCAGATATAGAGATGCGAGAGTGTGAACGGGCCAGACCCAATGTCTGGATACACCGTTCCGAAACGTAGGACAACTCCGAGCCGCAGTCCAATAATATGCGGCAAACAACGTCTTGTCCTCGAGGATTGCGCACATACACCTGCGCCGTTGGCAGTGTACTTCTCATATTTGCACCCTTGCCACCTTTTGAAGTATTAACGGCGTTCGTCAGTGCTACTACTGTGCTAGCACCTGGTGCCTCATTTGAATCATCCCGCTGATGTTGCTGTGGGTCATCTTTGTCCTTAGTGTTACGTTGGTCGAAGTGCAAGAGTGAGTGATGTCGGCGCTTGCAATGCTTACAAGATGACTTCGATGTGCAAGCGCTCACTCCATGGCCAAGTCTCAAACAATTAAAGCACATGTGTTTGGACTTTGCAAAGGCATATCGCTGCTGAATAGATAGATCCAAAAACTGTGTACATGCCATCAATGCGTGTTCCTTGTTGCACTTTGCACAGCGCTCTGAAGTGGCGAGTAGCGCATGTGCGTTCCTGGTACCTCTGTCCTGTCTAGGCTTGCTGCTTGTCGTAGTTGCAGATTGACTGAGCTCCAGCCGATCACAACGTGCATCCAGGAACTTGAGCAACTGCGTTATCGTAGGATTTGCTATATCTTGACTCCTTTCATACCATTCACGACGTGTGGTGTCATCAACCTTTGCCATGAGCAAGTAAATCAGCCAACAATCCCGATCCGTCTGTCCAGAGGCGTCTAATGCCCGAATTACGGTACCAGCTTCGTTTGTTAGCGATCGAAGCGATGCTGGGTTTTGATCCGCAACCTTGGGCAGTCCAGTAAATGTATCCAACAACACGTTTACCAAATAGCGAGGCTTCTCGTACCGATCAACTAATGAATTCCAAGCTATTTCATAGTTGGCATCGGCTAAGGGCAGATGCTGAATAAGTTTCGCAGCTTCTCCTTTTAAACAAGATTTTAAGTGATGATACTTCTGGATATTCGTCAACGTTGTCTTGCTGTGAACGGCACTGTCGAATAGACCCTTAAATGCGTGCCATTCCTTATAATCTCCATCAAATGGTGTGATATGAATCCGTGGCAGTTCCCAATCCTTCACTGATGGTCCTGCGCCTTGCTGTGAGCCTGACGGTGACTCGTTATCCACCTGCTGTGGTAGCAGTCGTTGCATTAAGGCCTCCATAGTCTCCATTTGCATCTGCTGCATTTGTTGCATTTGCATCTGAGACTGTTGCTGTAATTGTTGCATTTGCGTCTAAGACTGTTGCTGTAATTGTTGTATTTGTATATGAGACTGTTGCTGTATTTGTTGTAAAATGCCTTGGATGGGCGAATTATCTACTTCCCCAAGCACATTAGATGTGGTATTGGCTTCTTCCAGTTTGTGGGGTTTGTACTCAGCGTGCAGTGTCTTAAGAAGAGCACAAGCTCGTTCAAAGCGCTCCTCATATACATTGTTGTCACTTGCTGGATCCACGTATCCCTGCACATCTTCATATTTATAAAGTTCGTCACCAAGGTTGAGAAACTGCTTCCAAGCTTGAACCAGCGTGTCCAATTTTGTATCAATATCGTAGAAGGTGCAGCCCTCAGGTGGATGCTCCGCATATCCAGAAATACGAGTAATTGTTGCCTTCAATCTACCTCTGGCTCCCAGTAAAGTCCGTAGATTTTCCATTGTAGCTTGCTGCGTTGCCAGCAAGTTTTTCAAAATAGCCAGGTATTAAATTAATGTGATGAAATTGCTGCGTCTCTAGCAGCCGAACAAACCATTACGACAAATCACCGCACTTTTCCAATAGTGCGTACTGCGTATTACGTATGATGCCAAATATCGATACGTAATTCCAAGAATTTGCAATTGCTGCGTCTCCAGCAGCAAAAACACGACAAGACAAAACACGTCACTTTTCCAATAGTGCGTGCTGTTTATTACGTATGATGCCAAATATCGATACGTAATTCCAAGAATTTGCAATTGCTGCGTCTCCAGCAGCAAAAACACGACAAGACAAAACACGTCACTTTTCCAATAGTGCGTGCAGTTTATTACGTATGATGCCAAACATCGATACGTAATTTCAAGAATTTGCAATTGCTGCGTCTCCAGCAGCAAAAACAATACAAGACAAAACACGTCACTTTTCCAATAGTGCGTGCTGTTTCCAACAACTCCAAGTGAGCATTCAGTAGCAATGCCCAACGGATCCGGCTCGAAGGACCAAATTTATGATGAATAATTAAACATATCTTTATTTTATATGAACTATAACAGCCAATTGCTGGTACGCTCAACTTGTCCGTTCGTTTGCTTACTGAATACTAACATAAGTTTATCGACTTAACCGATAATTGATCTCGATGCGGCTCTTCATTCGCCGATAATAATGAAAGCTACAAATTATACTAAAAAATGACAAATATACTAAAAAATGATAAATGTGCAAAAAAATGACAAATGGTTTCTCAACACATACATAATTTACAAACTATTAAATCGAGAGACAATTATCTTCCCATTCCATACATACATACCCATATGCAAATGTATATACATATACATATGTATATACATGTATGTATGTATGTTTGTGAGCACAAAATCGACCAAATGCAAATGCTGGGCTTTAAAATTACTACAAGCAGCAAAAGTTACGCACACAGGCCACGAATGCTCATGTTTCCAGAGACTGCAAGTGTGTGTGTCTGTGTGCACACTCGTCGCGAAAGCATTGCCATGAGTATCAACGCTTTCATACCTTTCTCACGAATAACCATACAAACGCTTACGTTTTGTTTGCATGAGCGTGACAAACGCTTTTATGATTAGGTATACCCTTCACTTCAAAGGGAAAGAGCTGGGATCATCGCGAACAAAATTCAATTTTTGTGCGCTGCTGAGTTCGGTGATTTGAAAGACCAAAGAGAGAGATAGAGTGAGAGAGAGAGTAGGACAAATAGCGCATAGCCTTGCTTCATATAAGAATGGGACCATTTCGTTTGAGCGCTCGCAACGAACTGACTTTGTAGTGTTGTATTTTCACTGCTCGAGCCGTAAGAGACGGAGCCGAGCAACTACGAAGGTGAGTAGTCCCTAATGCACATTTTTTCGGTGGTGAAAAAGTTTGTTCTACATGTCTCATCTATGTGTTCTTTGGTCAGTGATGTTAATTAACACCAATATCGAGTGTGGTCCTGACGAGGTTGCCAGTTGGTTACGATGGATGTAATCGAACGTACTAGTGAAAATCGGACAGTTGATTAGCAAGAGGAAGAAGGACAACAGTGCAGGAACACGCTGCACTCCACAAAATTATTTAATCTGCAGAAATATCCGACAGATATAAATAGTCCAGCGGATCTATATTTTAACTAGAAGTCTGGTTACACACGCGAGAGGTCACGAAGTACTTTAGCGGATTAGAATGATGATCTGAATTGCTCACCAAACCAATCCTACCGGCTGCGCCAAAAATAAGACCGACTTTAAAGGTTAAATAAACAAGTAAGAAGACTCTAGTCGAGACTGCTCGACTAGGATATACCCTGAACCCTCTAATCTGATATTCTTATCAGTCTGCACTTCTTTTCGACACACATACATACACACGCACGTATTAGAACGCGCTCTGCTAACTGCGCAGTAAGCAGCGACTGCGCTTGGTCTGCGCTGTAGTGTGGGCAACATTATAAGAATTTATTTGTTGAATAATTTAATTTTTTGACGTACAATCTTAATGAAACTTTCAGAGCGTAATCATGTGGTGAAAATGTATGTACATTCCAAAGCACAAGTCTCTAGTACTTGAAATACGCCTGGGGTAAATAACAATAAAAATCGAAATTATATAAAATACATATATGTCTACATTTAAAATTTGCAAGCTCTAGCTCTAAAGGTGTAGGAGATATAATTAAATAACTAGCTTTTGATAAGGATTTTAATCGATAATAAAATATCGGGAGTAGTTATCGATATAAAAAGAAAAACTTGATATGCGCGTGATATACACGGACCTAGGAAAAAAAATTTCAAGTCTCTAGTTCTTATATCTTCTGAGATCGACGCGTTCATACATACGGACGGACGGACGGACGGACGGACGGACAGACAGACGGACAGGGCCAAATCGACTCAGCTCGTCGCCCTGATCAAGAATATATATACTTTGTGGGGCCTGCCACGCCTCCTTCTGCCTGTTACATACTTTTAACAAAACCATTATACCCTGATTTCCCATTGAAAATGGGTTCAGGGTATTAAAATGTTTATTTCTTAATAACTTATAACGAAGTACAATTATGGAGTTCCCACGAGAAGGGTTTGATGCGTTTTCCAAGCGTTGGAGAGCGACTTGTTTATAGTGAATGAGTAGACGATGGGCTGATTTACGTATAAATGGACGTTGGGATGATTGTTTCTAAGCGGACGCTGGAACGATTTGTTTATGAGTAGTCGCTACGACGATTTGTTTATGCTGAGTGATGGAGGGGATCGTGGCTTTGGTGTTTTGTTTAAGTGTGGGTGAGCGCTGATGAATATATTACTTCCCCATCCTAAAGAGATTAGCCTGTCCTCAGGCGGAAAATGTAGGGTACAGTTGTGGATTCTAATGGTACATGAGTTTCGGGAAGTGGTTGTTTCTTCTGGTGTTGAATTACTTGATTTCATGGCTGTTTTATCTCTTATGATAATTATACCCTGAACCCATTTTCAATGTGAAATCAGGGTATGATGGTTTCGTTGAAATGTATGTAACAGGCAGATGGAAGCGTGTCAGACCAGTCAATGTAAATGTATTCTTGATCAGGGCGACGAGCTGAGTCGATTTGGCCCTGTCCGTCTGTCTGTCCGTCCGTCTGTCGGTATGAATGAACGACGCGTTTCAGAATTCAGAAGATATAAGAGATAGTTTGGGTCACTTGCGCAGAACTAAAATATCAGTTGTCCAACACTGCTTGTCAAATGCAGATGTGAACAAGTAAGAAAACTCTAGTCGTGAGTGCTCGATTAGATATTACCCTAAACCAAACTAACAAAAATGCCCATTTAGTATGGCTAAAATTTCAATTTCGATTTATTCAGAAATATAAATTAAATACAAAACTCATTTAATAAAATAGAAAAATATTTTGAAACAATTAAAAACAAGTAAGAACGTTGCAGTCGGGCGTTACCGACTGCGGAATACTCATTCACATCCCATCAACAATTTAGTAGTTAAGTTTCGCTCTAATACTGTAGATTATACACGTTTTTCCGATTTGCCACGCCCCAACTGGGCGTAGACACCTCATTTTTTGGTCAGTTTTTAGAAAGAGATAACGGTACCCTATCTGCAAAGTTTGAATGCTTAACCTCAAAAAATGTGAAAATTACAGGGTATTTTTCGATATGCCACGCCCCTAAAGAGGCGCAAAAATTATTTTTGGGGAATCGATAGAGGAGGCTACCAGTAACTCAACTATCCAAATTTAAAGCTTCTAGCTATTATACTTTAGGAGATATAAACTTTTGTGGTTTGCCACGCCCCCTGTGGGCGGACATATATCCGACAAAACTTTTTGGTCTTGGGTGATCAGTCCGAGTATATATACAAAATTTGAGGTCTCTGCCATCAGTAGTGTCCAAAATATAGGAGAATTTAAAAAATCACTATATCTTCAGGTCCGATTTGCCACGCCCCCAATGGGCATAGACTTATAATTTTATTTTTAGACTTTATAGAGTCATACCATTAGCTGACGTGCAAAATTTCAGCATTCTAGGTTTACAACTTTAGGAGATACAGTTTTATCCGATTTGCCACGCCCCCAATGGGCGTAGATATATCCGCCATAGCTCGTGATCTTGGGTGGTCAACGCGGACCTACATACCAAATTTCAGCTTTCTAGCTCTTTAACTAACATGATTTCTGGTATATCGGAAAATGCATTTTCCGATTTGCCACGCCCCTAGAGGGCGGATCGGGAAAATTTCAACACTTTATAAATCGGAGATATACACGAGTATGTGTTCCAAATTTCAAGTCTCTAGCTTCAATAGCGCCGAAATAGATTGCGTTCATACGGACAGACGGACAGACGGACGGACGGACAGACGGACAGACGGACGGACAGCAAGACGGACATTGCACAAAACCAATATACTGATTCACTTTCGTGAATGAGTATAAAAAAACACATCCCATTTTGCCCACTGGGATTAATCAGGTACCACATTTTTAAAAAACATTCAGGTACCACATTTTGAAAAAACATTCATTCTGAGGGAAGGCATGGGCTCTCGCTGCGAAGAAATTTCAATTTGTGAGCGCTGCTTGTGCTCACATGCATACATACATATACATATTTGAGAGAGCAGAGAGCATCGTGAGAGAGAGAGAGCAAGGGAAACATTCAGCGTAGAGGGATCTTTTGTTCAACAGTCGACCATCTCGATCGAGCGCATGAAGCGAAATGATTGTGCTTTCGTATATTTTCGTAACCCGAACCCAAAAAGTGAAGAGCCGAGCAAATACGAAGTGTCTGGGAGATAACTCCCGAAAAAAGTGTGCAAAACGCTTTACACTACTTGTCCGGTCTATGTGTTCTCTGGTTAGTGGTACACACGAGTATGCATGCCAAATTTCAGCTCTCTAGCTCTTATATATTCTGAGATCCTTTTGCTCATACGGACGGACGGACAGACAGGGCCAAATCAACTCAGCTCGTCGCCCTGATCAAGAATATATATACTTTGTGGGGTTTGCCACGCCTCCTTCTCCTTGTTACATACATTTCAACAAAACCATTATATCCTGATTTCCCATTGAAAATGGGGTATTATTATATGCATTTTATACAATTTCGCTTTTTGTCAAAATTTACCCCCACCTCTTATTCACCTCTCACCATCACATTTGTAAAAGGCGTATTTCAAATACTAGGGACTTGTGCTTTAGCAAATACATGTATATTTATGTATTTTATATTTATAATCTGTTTCATGAAGATAGTCCATCCAGAAGAAAAGTTATTAAGCAATTAAGTTCCCATAGTAAGCCAACACTGCAACCAATGCGTGTTTATGCGTGCGTATGTATGTCTGTGTGTGTGCGTGTATGTGTGCATATGCGAATAATTATTGAAATATCAGTTGCTCGAAGCGTTCAGGAGATCTCGTAGTCGGGCAGTCTCGACTACAGCTTTCTTACTTTTTATATTTGTTTTATGAAAATAGTGTATAATGTCGATTTTGTCGTTGTTACCTTTTATGAATTCAATTTATCTGTTATATAAGTTTAAAGGTCTTACTGAAATAGGTATTAAGTTTTGGTTGTCTTCCTGAGCACTATGAATGGTTGCTCGGGAGCTACTTATTTCTTCTCCTAAGAGATTTTCTTCTAGTTTGATTCTAGAGAGGGCATCTGCTACGTGGTTTTATTTTCCTGGTA